CGGAACCCGAAGGTTCATCACCGAATTAACCAAAGCCCTCCACCAGTCCCTGTCCTGGGCCAACAAAATCCAGTCTCCTTCAACTCCTATCTCCCATAGATCCCGCCTCAGATTATCCTCCCATCTACGTCTAGGTCTTCCCAGAGGTCTCTTCCCCTCAGGCTTCCTCCTGCCTGACATTATCCTCCCATCTACGTCTAGGTCTCCCTGATAACTTGCACTATTTATCAATAATTGTTACGATGAACAAATGGAGGAGGATGGGATTCATGGTACATGTACCACACTTGGCAGAGCTGATAAATGCACCTGAAGGGTAGAGACCACTTTGGAAACCTAAACATAGATGGGAGCATACTATTAAAATGGATATTAAACAACTACTATATATGTCAGTATTGACAGGATTCATGTGGCTCAGGACACAGACCAGTGGCAGTAAACTGTGTGACACAGGGTGTACTGTATTCAGCGGTTCTGGATAGAATCATATAACAGTGTTTACAGATCACAGTAGTAAATCTTCCACCTTCCATGAAAGCAGGGAATTTCTTACCACCTTAGTAATTATCAACATTTCATTGCAGAACGTGCATCATGCAGTTAGGTGGGTAGATACCAAATATCCAAAGAATCAAGGCACCACATCACATCGTGCAATTTTTTTTTAAGAATGAGTTTGTGGGAGAAAGGCTTGGAGACAACAAGTTTAAAGGAACAGAGTTGCTTTATGCCATTAAAATAGTAAAATCAGTATTGAAAAACCCTTTATGTTGATACAGTATATACCCATTCGCTATCAATCCAGTTGAAATTAGATGTTAGAATCCCTCTACTGTCAGTAACAAATTTTGAACTGCACAGAGGAACCAAAATGATCTGTGAAAAGAATTGTATAGTTATATATTTGTAAAGTCGTATAACAATCTGATAATTAAGACACATTCACTACAACAGTAAATGCAGTGATTATTAACAATATCCCTTAGTCTTGAAGATCAGACCATATAAGTACGTACTGTAATTCTATTATTTACATAAATTAAATATTATTTGTGTATATGCAATATGCATACCTCTTAAGAAATCCAGATGTGTTTCAATGACAGCATTAGGGTTGGTACAGAGGAAACCAGCACTCCACAAAGGTGTGCCATCTATTGGGTCGTTCACATGGGTACACAACTGTGTAGCAAATCCACCGTCCACTACAAAAATCTCTTTTTCTACTGCACACATTTTTTTTGTTTTCTTTCAACTGGAAGAGATTTATAAGTATTGAGACCTTTAAAGCTTACCAGCAACATAAAATATGAACTTTCAATACAAAGAACAATATTAGAATAATACGGACTTACTTCTTTCCTTCCTCACAAATTGACAATCTCAGCAGAAAACCTGAAACAAAAGTTTAGGATGGTTTGCTAAATAATTCTTCCACAACAGATGATAAACATTACTGCAAGAGTGCAATTCATGAACTTATACCAGACTACACAGCGCAACAACCCAGAAGACAGCCATCTTCAAATAAATAATCCCTCATCACTAAAGAACTTCATCTAGTTTGTGAATTTTAAATAAGAAAAACAGGCATTACTTGGAACGTTTGAAAAGAGATTTTTAGGCTGTATCTACAATTATCACCAATTTCATTTCTATGATGTGAAAATTTTGTCATCCTGAGGGACGAACATAGACTGAAGGTGTCTCAAAGTGCTGAGGCGAATATTTGGACCAGTCAATGCCAAATAATATGAGGCTAATGAAATCAAAGTTAAGTTCCAGTTTGAAAGAAATTGGCATAGATAATGACGTCAGTCCATTTTCACTGTTATTTAATAACAGATTTAATTAATGGTAAGTAACTTAAAAAACACAGAGACTGACGCTTCAACCTTAAAAATTGATGTTGGAAATTAAACCAGTTATAAGCTGACAAATGAAGATGATGGTTCAGCTTATTGCAAC